TCTAATCTGGGATTAGTCTGATGAAAAAAAGAGGTGAAGTAGTGTGTGAGGAAATGTGACAGTTAGATATGGTGAAAAAAGAAGAGGCGAAGAATGGTAGTAGGAAGTGTACGTCTCTTTGAAGAGTTATACGTGTGTGGCTTGTAGCTTTTCATGGGCATATTTGTAGGAAGAGAGTGAGTTTCATCTACGTATTTGTAAGGTACTAATGTGCAATGGGATTCATTACTATGTGGGAAAAAAATAGAGCACGCATGATATTGGTTTAATTTAAATGTTGAACAAGTCAAGTGATAACATATAATTCTGACATTAACTAATTATAATGTGTTCAATATTTTGAAATTTGGATGTCAATGTCATACTCAAGTATAATCGGAAAAAAAAAAAGTTATTGTATAGTAAAATTTTAGAAGTAGTCCCATAATTTTCAAATGTATTAAAAAATAGTTTAATTAAAATTTAATAAATAAATAATATGTAGTCAATAATATATAGTTAATAATATATCGTCAATAATTAGAACTTTTAATATATAGTCATCAACCCCCACCCCCCATACACCTAAGATTTGAATTGGCGTGCAAACACACACAAATATCTTTTGTGATACCTACACTAATTTTTAATAAATTAGTGATGTTAATATCTACATGAATAATAGTTAGTCCATGTAGATAATTAGTGCAAATCAATGGATAATAGTTAGCCCACGATTAATGTAAACAATATTAACTAATAATTATAAATTAAATATGAGGGTAAGCAAATATTAACTAATAATTGTAAGTAAGATGTGGAGTTAATATGAATCATAATTTATCGTATATCAGTTGTAAACAATATAAAATTATCTTGTATAAAATAACATAAAAAATGTATGTTTAAAATATTAAAAGTATCTAAAATTTTATATATCATTGTTGAAGATGTGAAGTCCCCTAAAATCTTTCTAAACTATTTTATAAATAAAACATGTCTAAAATTATTTAAATTTTTTTTTTTCGAAAATATACTATTCAATTTCCAAAAGATGATGATAAGTATAAGTTGAATTTTAGAATCCACGTGAGTATTATTTTTTAGATCCGTGTACTATACAAATTATTCATTATGTTAATTTCCTGTGAACTTCATATTAATTTATTGATTTTATTTTATTTCTATACAAAGTTGATCGTCTCATTTTATTTTACCATATTTTCGTGGAGATTTAACAAAGACGATTGCATTTATAAAATGATTTGGATATCAACATGCAATTTATAATGGAGTTTTCAAAATTATGTACTATTAACAAATAATATATTATCATTAAATATTGTTTTTTTAAATGCACAATTATTGAGACTGATAATTTGATAATTATTTTACCTTTTGAAACTGAGTATAGAAAAAACAATAGATTGGTAAACAAAGAAGTGATAAACATTACCAAGTTTATTATCACACGTTTTAAATAAAAAAATTGTGATGATTAGTGGAAAATGATATTTAACGAATAGCATTCAATATTTTTCTTTAAAGACATAAATATAAAGACCGATATTCTAAAATTTTTATTATCTTTTGAATTGAGATTTTATAAATATAGAGATTGAGATTTTAATGTTCTTCGTTATTTCTATAAAAAATAAAATAAAAATAAAAAATGCACACTTAATAGATCTTAGCTAGAAATTTTAAATAATAAAATGAATTTAAAGTCAAAAATTTAATGCAATACTAATGTTGTATGATTTTTTAAAGATAAAAATAAAAAACTAATAAAACTTACTATTTATAGGTTGCATTAAATTCTCTCCTATTTTTTTGCTACTATTTTTGTTAAATGATAATTCTTATTATATATGTATAGATGTCCTTTTCTTTTCAAAATCATAAAGACACAATTCAATAGTTATGGGGCAAAAAATACAACTTTTCTACTATTAAAATGACAGATTACTCCCCATATAAAATATAAGCAAGGCCGTGCTTCGTTAACAAAATCCTAATGCAATCCGGCCTCGCCGTTGATTGGCCCGGTGGTTGGGTGAGTTTTGAAACTGCTGTCTTATTTTACCAAAAGTAAAAAGAATGTGTCCTATGTTATGAGGCAGAAAATGCAATTTTACCTTACATATTGTTGAATTCCACCCTTTCTGGCAAGTCGAGTCGGCAGATCGGGTAAACGGGTTACCATTGTCATCTTTTATTTTTCACTTTCCAGACGAAAACCTAAACTGAAGCTCGTTTCTCCCATTTCCAGATATTGCTCGAACACACCTCAAATCACCGGCAACAAGACTAACATTATGGGGCTGGGCCAACTCGCTTCGCGAGCTCTCATCAGATCATCACGACTCGCCGCCACCAAACCCACCCACCTCGCCCGCCGCACCATCGGCTCCACGCCAGACCTCCACAACGCCGAAGCCGCTGCCGCGGCGGCGCAGCCGGAACCAGATCTCCCCAAGCGGAACCCGGTGGCCGGCGCCCGGGTTCACTTCCCCAACCCGGATGACGCCATCGAGGTGTTTGTTGATGGGTACCCCGTGAAAATCCCCAAGGGGATGACCGTGCTGCAGGCTTGCGAGATTGCTGGCGTGGATATCCCGCGGTTTTGCTATCACAGCCGCCTCTCGATAGCGGGAAACTGCCGCATGTGCCTGGTTGAGGTTGAGAAATCGCCCAAACCCGTGGCCTCGTGCGCCATGCCTGCACTACCCGGTACATTACGCATTTTTTGTTTTTGAAGTTTTAGCTGGATATCAGAGTTTGGGAATTAGGGAGATTTCTGTTTTGGCTAGTTTTGCAGTATTGTATTGGAGCTTTTTGTATATTTGATTGGAAATCCTCGTTGATTAACTTATAGTGACAGTGCCTTTTGCTGGTGAATGGATCAGTTAGATAATATTCATCTTAACCTAGTATTTTCACGCTGTGAAATCACACTTTTATTATATTGCCGTTGTGATTGATCCAGGATTTAGTTCTTGCTACTGCTATCAAGGAAAAGAATTGCTTTTTATTTGTACCTGTTGTGAATTACTGGAAAGGATCTCTCCTGGAACTGAAACAATTGTATATAAGCTTACGAAAGTTATCTTCTTTAGGTTGCCAGTAATATGAACTTATACATTTCTTGTTAGAGGCTTGGTGGTGCTTTGGAAATATGTTTGTTTGAGGTATCTGTATGGTGATCTTGTTTGCTCCCCGCATCAATTTGTGTGCAAAGGATTAGTGCTGATTCCCTTGTTCATAGTCTCATATTTTCCGTACTTATTAATCTTTCTTTTGAATTATTTGGATTTTTTACTGTCCCTGTCAATAGGAATGAAGATTAAGACTGATACACCTCTAGCCAAGAAGGCAAGAGAGGGAGTGATGGAGTTTCTTTTAATGAACCATCCATTGGACTGCCCAATTTGTGATCAGGGTGGGGAGTGTGATCTTCAAGATCAGTCCATGGCATTTGGTTCTGATCGAGGACGTTTTACTGAAACAAAGAGATCAGTGGTTGACAAGAATCTTGGGCCCCTGGTCAAAACGGTGATGACTCGATGCATTCAATGCACAAGGTGTGTATCTATTTTCATGTGTTAGTTTTGCATCTAAAATAGTGTTTTAAGCTGCTGAATGCTGATAGCAGGGTATGCTTATGAATTCAGCAAAGTGTCTTTCCAGTTTGGTCGAGCTTGGTTCACTACTCCACTTATTTTATTGTAACCTTGAAACAAATCTGGAAAACTAGTGAGGGTGACACCTAATTGAACCAGACTAAAGCTGTGTTTTTTGTACGTTATCTCCCATTATAAGTTTTGGGTGATCTAGGATCGCCAAAGTGACTGTTCCTGGTTTCGTTTTCAGTTAAGTTTAGTTATCAAAGTGTTGGCTGATAGTGGGTTGTCATACATGGCTTTATGTGATTTCAGTTGAGTAATTAGCTTAAAATAATTGATTTTGTAACTTTGTATCAAACAACAGTGTCATGCAGTTCAGTCAATCGTCCAAGTTCATGAGAACCTATTTGAAATTTTGTTCCTCTGTAGCATAGATAGTCTTGGAAGGATATCTTTCATTTATGTGTTACATCTAGTACCGGGAGGTGGGGGGAGGCTTGTTGTTCCAAACTTCAATGTAGTTATAATGTAATTGGGGTTAAATTAATTGGTTCACAATAAATATCAGTAGCCCACCCTCCAAATTTAAAGGCCAACTAATTCTAAAAAGTAGTTCAATAAAAAATGACATTACTGTTATGTAATATGACTTGTTGCTGTTCTCGTTTCTGTGTTATCGACGTGTCAGTTTCTTTTGACATTTGTAATTCTGAAGATATACCTTGTGTAACTAAAATGAGTATCAATAGCACTCAATCATGTTTGCAATGGCCATGCACTGTAAATAGGTGTGTAAGGTTTGCAACAGAAATAGCTGGTGTTCAAGATCTTGGAATGTTGGGTCGTGGTAGTGGAGAGGAAATTGGAACTTATGTAGAACGGCTAATGACAAGTGAATTGTCCGGGAACGTGATAGATATTTGTCCTGTAGGAGCCCTGACCTCAAAGCCTTTTGCCTTTAAAGCCCGTAACTGGGAGCTGAAAGGAACTGAGAGCATTGATGTAACAGATGCCGTTGGTTCTAATATTCGCATTGATAGTAGAGGTCCTGAAGTCATGCGCATTGTGCCTCGATTGAATGAGGTACCCTTCTTTGATTCATTATATTATTTCAATCCTAGATTTTAGCGAAGTATTCTGTTTTTCATGGATATTAGAAAATTCAGTCATGTTCTTTTCCAGATTTTGTCGGTTTTATTCCTTCTAAAAATTTGTTGATACTGACCTGATAATAATAGCATCTGTTACGTAAGTGCTAGAATATCCATTAGCCAGGCTATCCTTGTCCTTTATGATATCTGCTAAACTGAAGTGTTCAATTCTCTATATTTGTTGTTTTAGGATTTAGGAAGTATTACATGCTTTTCAGTTTCCAACACCAAAAATTCATTTCTTCAATCTGCAAAGCTAGCTTGTTTCAACTATCTCGGATTCAACTATAGCTGTACTTTGGCCAAAATGCAGTCTTTGTTAGTTGGTTCGTATAATCTGATTAACCAGACATTTAGCAAAGCATCCCCAACACGTATCCTACAATTTTAACTTGATTCTGAGGGTCTCGAATAAATATTATACCACTTCAGTTACTGGAGTGATTAGACGCCGATAACCACAAGCTGGGTATAGGTATTTGTAAAAAAACATATTGACTGTTGTATGTAATGTTATAATCAATCTTAGTTTGTCCGTTTGTTGTGTTTTGCAGGACATCAATGAGGAGTGGATATCAGACAAGACACGCTTCTTCTATGATGGTCTGAAGAGGCAGAGGCTAAACGACCCAATGATTCGTGGTGCAGATGGACGCTTTAAGACTGTAAGTTGGCGTGATGCTCTTGCTGTAGTAGCAGAGGTCATCCACAAAGTCAAACCATCAGAAATTGTTGGTGTTGCTGGAAAGTTATCTGATGCAGAGTCTATGATGGCTCTAAAAGATTTCCTGAACAAGTTGGGGTCAAATAACATCTGGTGTGAAGGAAACGGTCCAAATCCTAATGCCGACCTGCGTTCTGGATATATTATGAACACTAGTATAAGTGGTTTGGAGAAAGCTGATGTTTTCCTTCTAGTTGGCACACAGGTAAATTTTTATTTGCTTATTTTGAATAGATTATCTGACTTTCAATGCTATGTTTATTTCCCTGACTGCAAGAGGAAATTTATGTTTTTACTTAAAAGCAGACTTATTTTGAAAGGTGTATTCATTTCGGATTTCTAAAGACTTTGTAAGACTTTAGAAATCTTGGTGTATTTAATTTTGGAGTTTTAAGACTTCCTATGACTTTTAAAAGTCTTGGGGTATTCATTTAGAATTTTATAGTCTTACAAAATTCAGAGGTATTTAATTTATTTGAGACTAGGATTTGTTAAGACTTTCTAAGATTTGCTCGGATTTCTAAAGAAAAAAACCTTATACGGAATCCTACCTCCAAACTTAAGATTTCACAGTATTCATCCGAAATCAGAAAAGTCTTAAAAAGTCTCAAATTGTCACTCGAATTAATCCCCCACAGCCAAGAGTAGAAGCTGCAATGGTGAACGCGAGAATCCGCAAAACTGTCCGTGCCACCAATGCCAAAGTCGCCTACGTGGGCCCACCGGCCGACTTCAACTACGACCACGAACACCTCGGCACGGGCCCGGAAACGCTCTCCGAGCTCGCCGAAGGCCGCCACCCGTTCACCTCCGTCCTCTCGAGCGCCAAGAACCCTGCCATAATCGTGGGGGCCGGAGTCTTCGAGCGCAAGGACAAAGACGTCATTTTCTCGACCGTCGAGAAAATCGCCCGAAACTCGAACGCGATCCGTCCCGACTGGAACGGGCTCAACACTTTGCTCCTCAACGCTTCTCAGGCCGCCGCCCTCGACCTCGGCCTCGTGCCGGAATCCGGCAGCAGCGTCGAGGCTGCCAAGTTCCTCTATCTGATGGGGGCAGACGATGTCGACTTGGAGAAGCTTCCGGAAGATGCGTTTGTGGTGTACCAGGGCCACCATGGGGACAGAGGGGTGTACCGGGCGAACGTGATTTTGCCGGCTTCAGCTTTTAGTGAGAAGGAGGGTATTTACGTAAATACGGAGGGTTGTGCTCAGACGACGGTGCCTGCAGTGCCGACTGTTGGGGATGCGAGGGACGATTGGAAAATTATTAGGGCGCTGGCTGAGGTGGCGGGAGTCGAGCTAATGTACAATACAGTTAGTGATTTGCGGAATCGGATGAGGACTGTGGCGCCTAACCTTGTGGTGGTTGACGAGAGGGAGCCGGCGGTTTTCTCGAGCTCGGTTTTGAGGCCTGAGGTGAAGGAGAAGATGGATAATAAGGTGCCGTTTGGAGTTGCGGTCGAGAATTTCTACATGACTGACTCAATTACGCGGGCGTCGAAGATCATGGCGCAGTGCAGCAGCGTGTTGTTGAAGAAGTGATTTTGTGGATTTTTTTGGTTCACTTTTAATAAGGTGCCCTGTTTGGGTATTCTTTTTCTCCTCTTCTGTATTTTCGTTTGTTGAATTTATAATATACATTGGGGTGCTGGAGAATAAGGTCTGTGAAATAGAGGAACCTTGTTACTTACTTACAGACAGTGTGCCATTTTTGTTCTGTGTTTGTTAAAATGGCCAGGATAAATCTGTGATCTGTTGGAGTGTATTTATTTGTAACTTTGACAACTACTACTGATATGCTGTTGTGGGATCACAAGCTTCTGTTGTGTTATTTTGGTTATATCATTGACTGATGAATTTATGTTACTTTGTTTTATGCTTCAAAACAAGCTGTGTAAGTGAAACTTTCTGATGTCACAAACTGATGCATGTCATTTTGTCAAGTAGGTCAGAGGTTTAAAATAATTCAATTACAAACACCATCTTTATTGAAACACAACATAGACAAAAGATACAAATTTTCGTTATGATTATTCTTAGCATGTGATACACATGATCAAAACTACACAAAACAGGGGAAACCAAAATAAAGTAGAAATAGAAAAAGGATTTTCTGAGAAGGTGTTTATGTATAACTCATTCTGGCTTCTCTGGAGCTATCTTGGAATAAGAAGAGATGCCAGACTGAACGAACGAGCTCTCCCAATTCTGCCCGTCAAATTGCCTCATCTCCACATTCTTCAAAGTCCCCGAGTCAACACAATTGACCGTGACCCCCACACCATCAGGATTCGACCTCGGGATGTAAAAAGAAGTTATGCCGCAAATTCTGCAGAAAGTATGTTTCGCTGTATGCGTCCCGAACGTGTAAGTCGTAAGGAACTGTTTGGAATCTTCGTTTAGTTCGAAATCTTGGGATGGGACAACGAAGTGCGTGTTTCCTCTCATAGAGCAATCGGAGCAGTTGCATTGCCAGGCCACAACGCTTGGTGGGGCCCGCACGCGCCACCTCACTCTCTTGCAGTGACATCCACCACAGTGGATCACAAGTTCAGAGTCCATTTGGTGGAACTATTAATCTGTGGAATGAAACGGATGGTGTGTTTGGCAGGATAAATTTATCCTAGCAGGATAAAATGGAATAATCCACTGCAAGATTCGTTAGGCCGCCTACGTTTTTTATTTATTTATATATTTATTTTCAATTAGGGTTAGGCCCTACCTACACTTATATAACCTACAAAATCATCTAGGCATCAATTTTGTTAGCAGCACCTAACTAGTGTTTTTCTTCAAAACACCCAACAAGAATCATAGGCTAAATCAGAAGCATCATTAGAGCTATGTACACATACAATCAAACCCCATTGGCAAAAACAGCTGTTGTGGAACATTTTTCTAAGCTATGTACACATATAATCAAACCCCATTGGCAAAAACAGCTATTGTTGAACTTTTAGTTTCTAATCAAGGCACTTTTGTTAGTCTCATGCCATAAATCAAACAATAATTTCTTAAGCTCATAATTAACCGACATAGCAGAACACCTCTTAATATTAATTGCATTTCAGCCCTAAAATATGTGGAGTCATTCAATTTTTTTCCTGTTACTTCTCAACAATGATTTTCTGAACGGATTNACCATTATCTCAATCATCAAATACAATAGTTGATGTTTTACAAGTATTCTTTGAATACAAATGAAGAAGGTCTGTAAATGAATCATACCTTGCGAAAAGGCTATCTTTGAAACTCTGGGAGAATCAAAAAGTCGTTGGAAATGGAGTAGTGAATATTGGACTCTTATTTTACTCGGTAATAAAAGAAGCATACTTTTATCAAATTATAAATGGGGACCCCGATTTTAGGAAATTGCAATGACGGTATTGACAAGGGAACAGTAGACGTGGAACTCGAAGAATTACGAATCATTTTGAAGAGAAAATTAAAATTGCCTTGAACTGAAAAATAACAGTTGATCGTTTGATTTTTGCTGAACCGAACTGAATTGAAAAAATGATATGATTTTGAAGATTTCACAAATGTCTGTACGAGAATCAAACTAAAGCATCTCATACATCGAACTGAAAAACCGAAATTAAAAAACGAATTATAACATTAGATGTATGTTGTTCATATATTTTATATCATCTTAAATTCTATATAATTAGATCATTTAATACTAATACTAAATAATACATAGTAATAACAATTAAATTTCGCTTAAATTTATGCTTAATAACATTCTACAATTTGATTTTTTTGTTTTAATAATAAATTTAAATTGTATTAAAGATTAAAGATTTTGTTTTTAAAAAAAAAAAATATTTTAAAATTTATTTTAACTTCGCTTAAATTTGTTGATATTTTTCTTAGTCTTGTTCTACCTTACATGAAAGGTTAAAGAAATATTATTAAAAAAATAATATTATATTTTGTCTGAATTTCAAATTTTCATTATAGTTGCACAAATTTAGTTTTAAAATTTTGAGTTACTTCTTGTTGTCATGCAAATTATGCAACATGTGTAGGAAAATCCTCTAAGTTTAAGTAGTGTTTAGTGGGAAATTATTGTGTAAATAAGGACATTATTGTGTAAATAAAACAAGATAAACAGACTTTAATAACGAACGAGGTCGGACCACCTCAAGTTTATATATATATAGTAGCTCGAAATGCAATGTACAATTGCAGAGTATTTAGGGGTGTGAGAACTTTTGAACATCAGTCCCTTTTCCTCTAATAATTCTGGGATATTTATATTATAAAATCCACGGGTATAATTTTTCGAAGTTCGTATGTTATGGCATCATTACCATTTAATGCAATTTGATTGCAAGGTACATAACCGCCAGGCGGGTCCCTTCTTAGACAGTCGCTTTTCCACAAGATAGCTGACACATGTCTTTTCAGCATTTAATGTTCTGTCATAGCTAGACCTCTTGAGGGATCCGATTGGTCTTCTCATGGTGCATTATCCGAGTACTCTGTGCATCTAGTTGATCTTCATGTAGCAATGTTTCATAGTCCGACCACCGATCAAGGGTGTCGGAGGCCTTGGTCTGGATTCTATCTCTATCTGTGTTGTTTGATAAGATATGTTTGAAAATGTCCTGAATAGTCTTGTCATAATTTTCAATACTCAGGAATTGTCATTAGGTGATTTCGATGCCACGTGTCGCCTATTTACGTGTTCGCCAGGTCGGATGTCAACACTTCTAAAGTTGATTTCAAAATAAAATCTTTAATATGGTGAAGCATTGAATATCCTAAAAAAAAGCATATCAAATTTAAATATAACTTGACAGTTATTTAAAAAATTATAAATAATTAGAAGTTTCCAGAGTTCTGAACTGAACTGCCCCCATTTTTGATACGGTGCTGGAGGTTTCTTAATCTCCGAATCATACCGACCATGTTCACCTTTAGTTGAAACAACTCAAAATGTTTTTATAGGTATCTTAGCCATCTTATTCAAAACAATTTGTCTTGTAAAAAAAAGTAAGATGAAAGAGTTACAAATGTTTTTAGAAAACATGAGATAACTATAAAGAGCCCTAATTTTCTCTCTCGTGATTTTCTCCCCAATTCGCTCACACTCGCCTTCCTTTCTTCTCGACCGTATGTCTTCCTCAACTGTAAGTCATGCCCTTTGCCAGTGGTCTGCCCTAGGTCGCGCGGCGTTTACCCCGATTATGCGCTTTCCTTTGTTAGTTTGGGCTGGTGGAGGTGGACGACCGTCCATGGGTGGTTTTCGCCGAGGTCCTGATGGTGTCTCGTGGTTGCGGTTCGTCGGCCTCCCTAGCATCGAGGTGGTTTCGGGCAGTGGTGTGTCGTGGAGGGCTGTGATGAAGATTGTGTATCTCGCTACCTTGGTTTGTGTCGAAGGGCGCGCTAAGGGCATTCTTTCTTCACGACAGATTGTGTAGAAGGGTGAACTTTTGGCCTTCCTTCTAAACGGTTGGTGAAAACAACGCAGTGTAGGCATTTGTTAAACACACGGGATTTTGTTATCTCAAACGATTTTTTATTACTTCATTGCTTGAATAAAATCGAATAAGTACAAAGATATTTAAGGAAAATAAAAACTAATCCGAAAAATAAAATACTAATCCTAAGGCAACTAAAGATCTATCATCTAAGACTTAGCAAATAAATAAAACTCGTAAAACTAAAAAACTAACTCACGTCCTAAACTAACTACTAATCCTAAATATTACCAAACTAAATAATCTCCTAACAATCTACACTAACAAACACACACCACATAAATTTTATGGCCAAATATATACCAATTAATAAATATCCTCTAGAATAATTCGGCCATCTCCAAGAAATAGCCACGGTCCTTCTAGAAGGCTTCTCGTCCCTTGCCCTTCAAGTCACGCTGACCATCCCTGCATCCCAAATAGCTCGTGCGTGTTGTCTCATCCACGTACGCCTATGCGCCACGCTCATGCTTTCCAAGCCCATGCGAGTCAGCCTATGCGAACTCTTCGGCCCATGCCCGCGTGCGCGTGCCTCGCGCGAGATCCTCGCGCCTGTGCGCGCCGTCGCCCACATTCCCTTGGTCGCGTGCATGCCTCCAGCCGCATTACATGCAACTGCCGTTGCCTTCGCGCTGTCTTCTTGGGTCGTATCGGCTTGGTTACGCGGTCTCCCGTGCACTTCCCAATCTCGCGGTCGCGCGTTAGTTGCCTTGTCGACCCGCCCGCTGTTTCGACGGGTCGCTCGACCTGGTATTGAGGCGTGGACCCCTCTTTCCCTAGTGAAAAGTTTGAGTTATTTTATATACAAACACCCTTATCGGTAGTCACTTTCCTCAATTCAAAAAATAGTAAATAAAATAATTTGTATACTTTAAATTCTTGGGCATATTTTATAATCTTAAAAAAGAAAAATAGCATGCTCATCCGAGAAGCACAGCTAAACCCCACATCCAAAATCACAGTCAAAGAGAGGCGAGCCGTGTTGTAACTTCACGGGCCATATCTCAACAAAAGGCTTTTACTTTTATAGTTTTATTAATATTAATAAAATATCACAGTACCAAACTATGTCAACCTAAAAAAAAGAAATAAATAAAAAATTTAAAGGATGAAAGTAAAGGAAGCGCTCATATTGTGCCAGCTGCAAAACCTACTGTGGTTGCAGCTAAAGGGGGGTCGGTCTCAATTTCACCTCTGAAGTAGAAGCTAAGTTGTTGATTCATAATAAATAATTATTATTAGAAGCCACCATAACCCACGAGCCCCACCCAACCCATCATCCCCAAACCTCGAAACCGCGTTTTCTTTTTCCTTCCCCAGTTCCCCTTAATTAATGAATTAATTAATTAATAATTAATTAATTGCTCTTTTATGGCTTGCCTGGCTGCTCTCTATTTACCTTTCCCTTTCTCCAATTTCTAGTTTCTTCCTACATTATATATACACACACACGCACACTACACTCACCCACCATTTTACCTCAAACTGTCTCTCCCCCACAAAATTCAAAAATGGCATCTGATGAATCCATCACTATTACCCATTCTCTCTCTCTTCTTTTCATGTTATCTCTCTCATTCCTCTTCACGGCTGAAGGCAATAACAACAACAACAACAACAGTACAGCCTCTCTGTTTTTCCCCTTGACCTCTGCCCCACTAACCTCCCACACCACCTCCTTCCTCGCCTCCCTCGCCGCCTCTCCCCTCCGCCGCACCTCCTCCGACTCTCCGCCGTTGGGCTACAGCTCCAAAACCCCTTTCCGCTACTCCATGGCCCTCATCGTCTCCCTCCTCATCGGCACCCCTGCCCAGTCCCAGCGCGTGGTCATCGACACCGGCAGCCAGCTCTCCTGGATCCTCTGCCACCGCAAAAAAACCCGAAACCCTCCCTCCGCCGCCGCCACAGCCTTCGACCCCTCCCTCTCCTCCTCCTTCTCCGCCGTCCCCTGCTCTCACCCCCTCTGCAAACCCCGCATCCCCGACTTCACCATCCCCACCACCTGCGACGCCAAACGCCTCTGCCACTACTCCTACTTCTACGCCGACGGCACCTACGCCCAGGGCAACCTCATCCGCGAAAAAATCTCTCCCACCACCCCTCCCATCATCCTCGGCTGCGCCGCCGACGACGCCGCCGCCGACGCCGAGGGCATCCTCGGAATGAACCTTGGCCGCCTCTCCTTCCCCCTCCAGGCCAAACTCTCCCAATTCTCCTACTGCGTGCCCCTCTCCCGCCGCCGCCCCACCGACCCCAGCCCCACCGGCGCCTTCTACCTCGGCCAAAACCCCAACTCCGCCGCCTTCCGCTATATCAACCTCCTCACCTTCCCCCAAAACCACCGCATGCCCAATCTCGACCCGCTCGCCTACACCGTGCCGCTGGCCGGAATCAAGATCGCCGGCAGGATACTCAACATCCCGGAGACATCGTTCCGACCCGACGCCGGCGGGTCGGGTCAGACGATGATCGATTCGGGTACGCAGTACACTTACCTGGTGGACGCCGCCTACGACAAGGTCCGTGAAGAGGTCGTGAGGCGGACGGGCGGCGGCAAGCTGATGAAGAAGGATTTCGTGTACGCGGAGGCGCTCGATATGTGCTTCGACGGTGCGAACGCGGCGGCGGCCGCCGCTCGGCTGATTGGTGACGTGGCGTTCGTGTTCACGGGTGGGGTGGAGATAACGGTCCCGAAGGAGAGGATCATGGACGACGTGGGGAGTGGGGTCCACTGCATCGCCATTGGTCGGTCGGAGCTTCTAGGGGTCCCCAGTAACATCGTCGGGAACTTTTACCAGCAAAATCTTTGGGTGGAGTTCGATTTGGTCAACAGACGAGTGGGGTTTGGACCGGCCGATTGCAGTCGATCGGTGTGATTAATTAATTAATTAATGGTTTTTGTAAATTAGAATTTTGGGAAAGTTGTTTGTTACTACATTAATAATAGTTTTTCCAGTTTTATTAGGTGTAGTGGAATAGATTATAGATGTGTTAGGCGTAGGTGTACCGTGTACTGTGTAACAATATGTTCATGATGAATTGATTTGATTTACTTCTTTCATCTTCGCTTGCTTACACGTGTTTGTGTGTGATGGTAAAAAAATATAATGTGCGCAAGTGTGGAATAGTGTCATTCAGTCTCATTACATATCTTACAGATGGATTAACTGTTAGACGAAGTGACTCTGTCAAGTTTTCTTAACAAAAATATATTACATAATTTAGAATATTATACTTTTATTTATATAATTATTTTTATAATAACATATAGTTCGATTAAAAAGTATGTACTCCTATGTCTTTTAAAAATTTATGAATGTCTTAACTTTTAGACATCTCTAATGACAGCTGTGTATGTAGAGATGAATATTGGGACAATGCTAAATAAAGATATCCATTATCCAGAATGCAAACTGACTGCGTTGGAAATTTGTTGAAGAAAGTGTAAGATTATCCCATGAATCAAAAGATAATTAAATTTAGTGTGTTGTGATACACCAATCGATTGACTTTTAATAGTCAAATCTGCATTACAGCTGTTAAATAAGACACTCATGGTTTTATATAGCTTATGTTATGTGGCTATAATTAATTAGTATAAAAATATTTAATGCTAATGTTAGTGTTAGGCAGTTCTAACCTTGATGCAAATATAGGGTATTTTTTTCCACCAAACAATATTTACTCTACTTTCATTTCATATTGTGATATTACACTTCAAAACACAACATTGTATGTATTTGTAAGACATTTCATGGTATATATTTTACGAAAGAAAAATTGCCGCGTGCTTAATTCATCTTACCGGTTGGGTCTTTTCGAATTAACTTTTGTTATTAAAATATCTATATGTGATCATTCAATTTTTGGGTAATAAGACATTCACATTCACCTTTAGTATCAAGAATCAAAAAGCAATTCCATCTTGCATCCCCACCTTTTTTCTCACATTCAAATTACAAAATTCCGTTGTTTGTCTTGTAAATTAAAGTAAACCCTTGAATCAAAAACTCATGCTAAGCATTGAGATTTGAGAAGAAAAGGTAAAAGAAACAGAAGTAAAGGCAGCAGCCGTGACCCGTGGGCTCTCTATAATGACTGCATTGCTTGTTATGTGGACGACATAAGTTGTCCCCACGCGATGTACTAATTTAAACCAAAGGCAAAGAAAAATTACCTCACGTTGTCATACACGTAAACACGATTAATTAGAGCTAAGCTTGAAATTATTAAACCTCCAAACGTGCATGATTTCGTCCTCTTCACATGGCAGACAATGGATGTTTGTCAATTTTTAGAGATCTTTGCTTCATTAAAACCTTCACTAGAATATTTAGATCTATTATGGATTTTCAAAACCAATAAATAAATAAATTAGAATTCTCCACTCTTCCATTGTGTTTTAGGTGCTTATCGATAGTCAATGATGTACACATGCACAAATATACAACAACAACAACAACATACCCAATATATTCCCAACAAGTTGTCCAACATGTTGGGGTCTAGGGGGGGGTCAGTTGTACGCAGATCTTACTCTTGTATACCCTTGTAATTATACAAGGAGGTTGTTTCCGTAGCGACCCAAGGTGCATTGCGCCGTTTGATATATTTTTTTTTTCTAGAAACTTCACTAATAGAAGAAGCGCTAGAATTTAATTGAGTCATTTTGATTTAGTCCATTATTAGCACTATGCCAGGAGAATTGTCAACAATGACTCTTCCAGCTCCATTTGCAATGGACAACATGCACAAATATACATTATAAAATATTATAAATAATATGCATATACAATATTAAAATTATAAAATAGATTGTTGATACTCAATTTGGCTCCGATTAATTAAATGGTAAATAAAATAATAAAGAACGGCCCAATAACTGAGGAGCTAAAAATACATGAAAAATAAATATACAAACAGGTACGCAAGACTTATCATCTAAAAGCCGACCGGGTCTCCAGATGGCGGGTCCGCACTTTGCCGAGCCGAACAGAGTTAGAAGTAATCGGATGGCACAGATACTATAAAGAAGTCGCCTCCGATAGACGTCAGTCAAAACCAACAAAAGTCGCAGACGAGCCCCACGATGACCATCCTACATTAAATAATAGTGTATATATTTATTTAATCACAGCCATTATGGCCGGTGTCCGGTCGGCTTCTATGAACTTGCTGTGGAATGGGGAGGTTTGTGATGAATTTAAGCCGTCAAGGGATGTACGTCAAGGTGACCCCATTTCCCCCTATTTATTCGTCCTGTGCATGGAACGGTTGGCACAATTAATTTGTCATGAGGTTGAAAGCAGCAGGTGGCGGCCCATTTCGGTTGGGAGAGGAGCAGTCTCGGTGCCCTTCCTAATGTTTGCCGATGATCTCATGCTCTTTTTGGAGGCTTCGGATGACCAGGCGATGCTTCTGACCCACGTCATGCGGCTCTTTTGCGACCCCTCCGGGTTTAAAATTAGCTCGGAAAAGACGCAGGTGTTCTTCTCTAATAATGTCGTCATTCACGAACAAGATCGTCTGGCAGGATTACTCAACTTCCAAATCACGGATAATCTGGGACAATACCTTGGGATGCCGCTGATTCATGGACGGGTGACCACGAGTACGTATGCTCACATCTTAGAAAAAGCGGAGCTCCGACTCGATGGTTGGCGCATGAAGTCGCTCTCGATGGCGGGACGGGTGACTCTAACCCAATCGGTCCTTAGCACATTTCCATGTTATGCCATGCAGTCCACTCGGCTCCCTTATGCAGTAGTGGACGAAATTGAGAAACGATGTCGTGCTTTCGTTTGGGGCGGCTCAGTTGAGAAACATAAGGTCCACTTGGTTGCTTGGAAGAACGTCTGTCGTCCGAAAGCTGCGAGGGGACTCGGGATTAAGAACCTCCGCCTAATGAATAGCGCCCTACTGATGAAGTTGTGTTGGGGTCTACTGACAAAGCATGACTCGCTGTGGATGCAAGTACTCCGGGCCAAATATAATATCTCTTCGTCGGCTGACGTGCTTTCTCTCTCTTGTCGGAGGAGCTCGGCGTTGATGCGGGCGATTGTCCAAGAGTGGCCTAATATGGTGAAGGGTGTGCGTTGGGTCGTAGGATATGGCAAAACCGTACGGTTTTGGCTGGACCCATGGATGGGCTCAGTGGGCCCTCTGAGTTTGATCGCCGCTAGCATACCTCACGCGTCGTGTCGTAATGTGACGGTGGCGGAGTTGGTTAGCGACTCCGGGGAATGGCGGTGGGATTGTCTACAAAACCTACTTCCAGCATCCATACTAATGCATCTCGCAGCGACCCTACCCCCACGAGAGACGGCGGACTCCGATCGGCTAGTTTGGTGTTACTCCACCGACAGCCGTTTTACCACGATGTCGGCCTATGACTCACTTCTCCATACAGTGACCGAGCCCCCCTCACCCCTGTGGAAGATCATTTGGCGAGTCGCGGCCCCACAACGGGTCCGCAATTTTTTATGGATAGCGAGCAACGACCGACTACTTACCAATGTTGAGAGAGTTCGGCGGCACCTCTCCCACTCGGAGGACCGTGATTTTTGTGGCGATAGTGAGACGATACTCCACGTGTTGCGAGACTGCCCTTTTGTGAAAACCTTGTGGAAACGGCTGCTTCTGACGGGCTTGGCAGATGACTTCTTTGCACTGCCCATACGAAGGTGGCTCACACGAAACCTCACAAAGCCGCGGCTGGGCTCTCTTATGAACTGGGTCGGCCTCTTCTCGGTTGTGGTCTGGAGAGCGTGGACCTGGAGGAATGACCGCATCTTTAATGGTCGATCTCTGGGTTGCGAGGAGCGAAAAGTTGAGGTGTTGAACCGGATGGAGAGCTACCGCTGCTCGGCAGAGGCCCTCGCTACTATAGGGGCGGGCATCAACCGGTACGATACACGGTCAGTTTATTGGTCGCCTCCGGAGCCAGGATGGATCAAATTGAATACCGATGGTGCTTTTGACGTGTCCTCGGGCCTAAGTTGTGCTGGTGGTCTTCTTCGAAACGAGTGGGGTGGTTGGAATGCGGGTTTCCTTATGAATATTGGCTACTGCACCATAACTGGGGCCGAACTGTGGGGTCTTCTTCAGGGGCTTCAGCTTGCATGGGATCAGGGCTTTCGCCAAGTTAGGGCGGAAGTCGATAGTCAGTGTGTACTGCAGATGATTAATGGCACCGGTCCCATATCTGGGGCGCATGAAGCTTTGGTCTAGGCCATTAGAGATTTGCTCCATAAGGAGTGGACCATTCACCTCCGTCACATGCATAGAGAGGCAAACTTTGCTGCTGATCATCTGGCGAGCTTAGTGTCTGCTGTTCCGATTGGTCTCCATGTGTTGGCCACTCCTCCCCCGACCTTGAATGATTGGCTTGAACATGATGTGATCGGGGTTTCTTATCCCCGACAAGTTTTAGTCTAGCCTTGGGTCTACGGCCTTCTTTCTTGTACCAAAAAAAAATAAAAAAAGAAGAGGAGAGAGAAGGGGATCTCTTCATTTTTTTTCCCTCCCCCAACAATGAAAAATAGAGAGAGAAAGAGAACACAAATCAATGAAAATAGTTCTTCCACCTTGATACAAGTTAAGTGTTATTTTTTCGTTGGTACGATTTTTTGATATCAACATAGATAATGGTCATATCAAATTTTACAAATTTGATTAGTAAATGAATAGTAAAAATATAAATTATTTAACTGCACATTAATCACATTATTAATTGCATAAAATATAATAGTTAATATATATATATATATATATATATATATATATATATATATATGTATATATATATATATATTTATAATTCTGAGGGATCATAACCAATTCATTATATTATTATTGTTGTTGATAATTAATTGTT